GCTCCTTGCGTCTTCCTTGGCTTCCACCCTGACGCCCCAGGGTGGCAGTTCTACCACCCCACCTCTCGCCGTGTTCTGTCCTCCCAGGACGTCACGTTTGACGAGTCGGTCCCCTACTACCGCCTCTTCCCCTACCGCACTCCGTCCCTCCCCCCGCCACCGCTCTTCCTTGTGCCAGGTCCCCCCCCGGTAGACCCCCTCCCCCCTCAGGGTCCTGCCCCTTCAGGTGTGTCCCAGGTAGACGCAGTCGAGCCTGTCGAGGTTACTGGTGACTCTGGTGCTGCTGAGGGTGCTGAGCCTGGGGGTGCTGACTCTTGGGGTGCTGAGCGTGTGGGTGCTACGCCTGGGGGTGCTGAGCCTGAGGGTGCTACTACTGGGGGTGCTGAGCCTGGGGGTGCTGAGCCTCGGGGTGCTACTACTGGGGGTGCTGAGCCTGGGGGTGCTGAGCCTGGGGGTGCTACGCCTGGAGGTGCTGAGCCTGGGGGTGCGGAGCCTGAGGGAGCTGGGCCTGCTCGTGTGGCGTCTGGCGGTGCTGAGCCTGGAGGTTCTCCGGGTGCTTCGTCTCGGCGGGAGCCACTCTCTCCACAGGAGCTGCGCGAGTGGTTTGCCCGGCGTTGGAGGCGTGCTGCTGGAGCTGGAGGTTCTTCGGCTGCTGAGGGTGCTGGTGCCGCGGGTCCCGGAGGTGCTCGTACTGGGAGTACTGGAGCTGCTGGGCCTGCGGGTACGACTGGAGCTGGAGCTGCTGAGGGTGTTGGCGCTGAGGCTACTGCTGTCGGTCCTGGAGGCGGTCCTACTGGGGGTGCTACTGGTGCTGCTGGAGGTACTGGAGCTGGAGGTGCTGCTGGCGCTGGTGCTGCCGCTGGGGGTACTGGTGCTGTCCCTGCTGTGTCTGGAGTCGCCGCGCGGCCTCGGCCGTACTTCGTTCCGCTCCTTCAGCAGGTTCTTGGTCTCCCGCCTTCTACTGGTCCTCCTCCTCCCTTAGAGTGTCCACAGCCTGTCCCGTCACAGTTACAGTTACAGCCGGCCTCCCCACTGCCCGCTCCTTCTCCCTACACTGGTCCTACTGGAGGTCTTACTGAGCGTCGTGAGCCTGCGTCTCGCCCTGCGTCGCCTGTCCGTGCTGCTCGCACTAGTGGTCGTGGTTCGCGTCAGCGTCCTCCTCCTGTCCCTGGCACGCACCGGATGTCTCTGCGTCCGTCCACTGCTCCTCTGCGTGCCCCTTTGCCTTCTCCTCCTGAGTCCTCTCTTCCTGCTCTTCCTGACCCGGAGTCGGACTCCCTTCGTGCTGCCAGTCCGACTGTCACGCGTCTCCTTGCTACTGTTGTCACTGACCCTTCCTTTGAGTCCACTGCTGCGTCTGCCCTAGTTACTGAGCTCGTCGACTTTGCTGCTCGCTGTCGTCTAGACTACGCTGCTAGTCTTGTTGCTGAGTCTGAGTCTGTCTGTCCTCCGTCCGTCGGGGGTGAGTGTGCCCTTGGCACGGACGTCCTTGAGGACAGGCAGGAGGAGTTCCAGTGTCTGGTTGCTGCTTCACCTCATCTCGTGTCCGTACTGCTTACCCCTGAGGGAGACCCGGATGCACTTGACATCCCGACTCCGCGCTCTTACGCGGAGGCGATAGAGGGTCCTTACTCCTCTCAGTGGCAGGCAGCTATGGACGCAGAGATGGCTTCCTGGGAGTCCACAGGCACCTACGTTGACGAGGTTCCCCCGCCTGGGGCGAACATCGTCAGTGGCATGTGGATTTTCAGGGTGAAGCGGCCGGCGGGTTCTCCGCCTGTCTTCAAGGCGCGTTACGTGGCTCGTGGCTTCAGTCAGCGGCAGGGAGTTGACTACTTTCAGACCTTCTCTCCCACCCCGAAGATGACCACTCTTCGGGTACTGCTGCACATAGCTGCTCACCGCGACTACGAGCTGCACTCTCTTGACTTCAGCACTGCTTTCTTGCAGGGCAGCCTGCACGAGGAGATCTGGCTGCGTCGCCCACCTGGCTTCACTGGGTCCTTTCCTCCTGGCACCCAGTGGAGCCTCCGGCGGCCAGTCTACGGTCTCCGCCAGGCACCGCGTGAGTGGCACGACACACTGAGGACTACACTTGCGGCTCTTGGGTTTGCTCCCTCTACTGCCGACCCGTCGCTGTTTCTGCGCACCGACACTTCTTTGCCGCCGTTCTACATCCTCGTGTACGTCGACGACTTGGTCTTCGCCACAGCTGACACTGCTGGACTCGCCCACGTGAAGTCCGAGCTGCAGAAGAGACACACGTGCACAGACCTGGGTGAACTGCGCAGCTACCTTGGCTTGCAGATCACCCGGGACAGAGCACGCCGCACCATTACCCTGACTCAGTCACACATGGTGCAGCAGGTCCTTCAGCGCTTCGGCTTCACGTACTCCTCGCCTCAGGCCACTCCTCTGCCTACTCGCCACTCGCTCTCAGCTCTGCCTTCGGATGAGTCCGTAGAGTCGAGTGGCCCGTACCCAGAGCTTGTTGGCTGCCTCATGTACCTGATGACCTGCACACGACCTGACCTTGCATACCCTCTTAGCATTCTTGCACGCTATGTTGCTCCTGGGAGACACAGACCGGAGCACATGGCTGCAGCGAAGAGGGTTTGAGCAGTGGGCGTGTGTCGAGGGTGTGGGGCAGTTGGAGGAGGTTGTGTGACGGTAGCTGTCGTGTCGCCTGCAGCGCCTGTAGTCCGTCGCCCTTGCTTCGGTAGCCAGTGAGCCTGCTGCACCAGTCGCCAGTGGGTCCGTTGCTCCTGCCGCTCGTCTATAGCCGCGGAGCCAGTTACTCCGGTAGTCCGTCGCCCTTGCTTCGGTAGCCTCTGAGTCAGCCGCTCCTGTGCCCGTGCCTCTGCAGCTTCAGTCGTTGCCTCCCATCTTCTCTCCCTCCACAGCTCCTCCTCCTCCTCACTTGTCTGCTGTGATTAGCTCTAGCTTTACTTACCTTTGTGAACTCCTGCTCTATACCTGCTTGCTGATTGTACTGATTACACCCCACTTTGGCTATGGGGGTGTGTCAGAATGTTATTGTTCTCCAGCCTGCAGTGGGGTACTCTATAGCGAGTATAACCCCTTAGGGTTTCCTATATGTATCCTGCTGCTTTCTAGTGAACTTCCTTCTTTTTTTGCCTAAACTGTTTCTTGCCTAGCTAGGGCTTTCCTAGCTATGGCGCCTGCTTATACTCGCTATCTTAACAGAAAGTACCACATTGGTGGAACAGGCAGCCACCGTGCCAGCGCAACACAGAATCAAGGCCAGAGCAGCATTTGACAACTGCCAGACTTGTCTAGTAGCGCGCCGACAGGACAGCGGGGCTGCCATCCTCCTTTCGTGCTGAACAGGACACCTCCTGGCAGCCACAAGTGACCACCGTGAGCCATGCAATTACGCGCTCCGGGGTCATCACGGGTGTTGGAGGAGGGGGTCGTTATCCCAAGAACACCCCATCTTTCTCATTCTTCTCATACCCTCGGTGTGAGAACCACCTACCGGGAGGTCTCTCACATGTGGTAGTCATGCCTGCCGAGCAAACTCCTCAATCTCCCGCGGTAATGCGTAATGGCCTTTCTGTGCTGGGAGTTATTCCTCCCCCTGCTGAGACATACAGCGTGCCCATCTCGCCGTTGCCACCACCCGCTTCTCCCGTGCGTAGTGTGGGTATTGTATACCCGTTCGAGCCGCCGTCGACTCCTGCTGACTGGGAGCCGCACCCGTCAATTGTTCTCGTGCCAGGCGATGGTGAAGGGTCGTCTAGACCCTCCGCGGCTTCACCGTCCACTGTGAACAGCACCCCGGGGAAACGCCCGCGTGTGGGAGCGAAGTACACGCAGCAGCGGCTATGGGGAGCCCCGCCACCCCGTAAAGAAGCTTCACCGCAACGTCCAGTAGCGACCCAAGACGAGGCGCCCGCTAAAACTACCGGTGACGTTCTCTACGAGACCATAAAGCATCGCTTTGAGACGGAGTGGAAGGGTAAATTCAAGTGGTTGCGTCTTATTCGGATGCCTAACGGAGAAGCAAAACTCAAGTGTGACATCTGTGTGCAGCATGGCGACCCCGCAGCTCACACTAGCTACGGTGTGAGAGGTGAAGGTGGCCGCGACCTGCAGATGGGAAGCGTCCGGGCCCATTCCTCAACACGAGCCCACAAGAGCGCGGTCAAGAACCAAGAAGAAGCTGCAGCTGAGAAGGAGAAACAGGCGAAACTAACTCGGTGGCAGTCAACTAACGCGTCTACGCGTCACATCATTCGCGTGCTTCATATTGCGCTTTTTATCTGCAGGGCGGATGCACCGATCTCGATGTTCATCCCGCTCTGCTGGTTCTTGGCAAAGGAAGGCCTTCCAGACCTTCCGAACGGTGGCGGATATGGCGCCTACTACACTGAGTAAGCGCTTGTTTTTATAACGGTAGCCACGGGTGATATTCACATATACTGATGTTGTTATCTGTTGTTATGTGCAGATATGGCTTCAAAGAGAATCTCCGGGCCATCTCAACGTACCTACAAGAACTGCAACGATCGCACTTGCTGGAGTCGCCTTGGATTGGCTTATCACTGGACGAGAGCACAGACCGAATCCACGGCAAACATCTAATCGTTTACGCTACTTTTTTCCGTGGCACGGGTGTGGTCAACGAGTTCATAATGCTCATCACTGTTGACCGTGCTGATGCAGCCTCTCTGACCTCTGTTGTGGTGCAGTACCTGACAGGGATTGGCTTGGATCTCCAGAAGATCTCTGCCATTTCAACGGACGGCGCTAGTGTCATGACAGGCAAGAACAGCGGAGTTGTCGCCCGTCTGCGCATGAGGATCCCGCACTACGCCTCCACGCACTCTGTCGCTCATCGGTGAGTGTCTCTCCGTGCACTCGGTGGGAAAGCGATGCACCATTCTTAACTTCATTACTCACAACTCGTACTTTGATTACTTGGCAGGGAGGCTCTAGCCGCAAGCGATGCCGCGGATGCTGTGCCTGAACTTTACATGGTTGACGACGTCATCCGTGGCTTTGCAGATCTCATCTCGCGATCCAACGTCAAGTACGAGAAGTTTCATAACATTCAGCATGTTTTCTGCAAGACGAACCTGGAGGCACAAGGGATACACACCGTTCGTTGGCTGTCACGTGGTGAGGCCGTCCGACGCTTCCTCGAGATCCTGTCTGCAGCCATCGTGGTGCTCAAAGAGGACAACAATGACCTGTACGAGATTGCCACATCGTTCAAGTTTCAGTGGTTGCTCCGGCTGCTTGCTGACGTGTTGTGGGAGCTGAACCATCTGAACCAACGGTTCCAGCAACGGCAGGTAAACGAATCTGAAGTATATAGACTGCTTACGCCCAGAAAGGTGTGTCGCTAACCCTGTCGTCTGTACTGTCTGAACAGATCGACGTCACGCTCGTGTCTCATTTCGTGGACCAGACACGGATGCGCATGAAGAACCGGTACTTAAACTTTGAGCCGGATCATCACTTCGGGAGTGGAGAGAAGATGACACTGAACGACTTCATTCAGCGCCATCAGAAGATGGACAAGCGGGAGGTGAAGGCAGAGGGCGTGGACAGTGACGGCAACCCTGTGAAATTCAGCTACACGCTGCACGAGAATCCCATCGAAGGGTAGGAGACGGACGGAGATGTAACGGCTTGTTTCGAGCTGTCGCTGAAGTTTGTGCGTGCTGTCGACAAGGAGCTGGAGTGGCGGATGAAAGACCTGGAGGAGCTGGAGGGGTGTAAGCTATTTCGGTCAGCCTCATACATACCTGACGACGCCAAACGTGTGGAAAACTTCAAAAAATGGTTGGCTAAACTGCACAAGCTCTAAAGGAAGAAGCTTCCAGGTATGCTCGTAGACCTCATGGTGTGTACCTGATTGTTTTGGCCCATTCCCTTCAGCGTTGTTTTCCCATCTGCTTCTGCTTTATTCAGTCGTAACGATCGGCACACTCTCATAACTACTCGTCTGGTCGCTTGTGTATCTCCAGGATTGTTTTGTTTAATCCTCACCCTTCCACCCGATTGCTGCGAGTATAGCCCCGTTTAAACCCATACCCGTACAACAAGATTCGACTACACCAGAGCACAGAGCGAGCTCTGGATGTTCACCTCAACAATGTACTCTCAACACAACAACGAGGACTTTCACCAGGCACTCGGGAACATGCTTCGTGACAACGACTGGCAGCACTCGTTCCCGAACTTGATGAAGATGTGGCAGGCAGTTGCCGTCCTACCGCTGAGCACGGTCGAGTGCGAGAGGGGGTTCAGCAAGCAGAATTTGATCAAGACGTGGGACCGTGGCAGCATCTCGGACATCACCCTGGAGCATTTGATGCGCTGTTCCCTGATGCAGTACGACGTGGACTGGTACGAGGTGGTGTCCATCTTCAAGGGAAAGAAGCTGCGGAGATCGACTAAGGACTTCAGTGGCACAAACCCGGGCGAGGCTATTTTCGCTGAAGCCGTTGTAGAGTCCTCTGACCCTGTTGGCGAATGACTAGTAGTTGCAGGTGCTGGAATGTGTGCAAGGGATTATGTAGCTGGTGCATTGCACATTGTGATTATGTAGTTAATGTAGTGTGAACTCATGGGGTGAAATTAGATTTGCTGGTGAAATCAGTGTAAGGCCAAAATTACTCTGACTGTTTCAGCGTAACGAAGATTTTACCCTGCCTTTGTCAGGCCAAAAAAAAAAATACTCTCCCTTTGTCAGGGAAAAAAAAAAATTACCCTAGACATCATACTTGACTACACCTACAACCCTGATTACAAAGTGTGCCCCAAAACGAATCTGAAGCCCTGGTTGTCACTTGCCGCATGGGATGACTCCGAAGTTGTCGCGCAACTGTTGACTCAGGTCCAACGTCGTCAACTGCCACTCATCGTGACGACTTCCGAAAATTTCGTGCAGGTGCCGACGCAGGTCCGCTGACGCCAGCTGCTTCACGAAATTCCGAAATCGTCGTTAAAACCGCAGCGGAATAGAAACTCACGTTTAATGTCGCGACAGCTACAGCTGTCCGTCGCCCGGGGGGATGGAGGCCACGGTCGATCGCGACCGTTCGAGGCAAGGATCTGGCGGTGCCGAAGGAGCACCCGTAAAAGCATAGCCGCGAGGAGCAACTAACTAGTTCTCCTGGCCGGCCTACGCAACTCCTGGACCCCAAGACATCCTTCCTCGTCCCCCCCCCCCCCCCCCCGAGGGGTATTACACTCTAAAAAGCGGGGTGAGCTAGGAAAGTAGCTCTGATACCAGGTGTTATGAATGAACTTGCAGAGTGCGCAGTAAAACGAATAACGAGAATGGTTGACTACTGAATGACGATACAATGAGAATGGCTCGCCTAAATAGGGGAAAAGCTAGCTAGGCGAAGAGGTAGGGCGAAGATGGCTCGGTGATGGTTGCGATTGGGGCGGATGCCGACTCGGGAGTGGTTCGGCCGACGAATTAGGCAGAACAGGTTCGTCGTGTGACCCTCGGGATGTACTCACTAAAGTGCGAGTACAGTGAGGAATTACAATGCCTTACAACCGAACTCCACTCCATTACTATCAAACAGGGCCACAATAGCAGTGAGAAAAGATTTGAGTTTAGGAACCCCTCCAACCATATAAAACCGTTTTAGTTTGACGATCAAGTGTTTAAATATCTTCACAAAATCATGAAGGAACTATACCAAAAAGGAATTACTATATAAACAAGTACAGTAACAGAGGCCCAGGCAAAGCACAAGACATAGGGGTCCCCATCTGCAGCAGCAAGACAGAAATCAGTGAAGAGGCGCGAGTCGCACCTCCCCACGTTCCGCGCTTATTACACCAGCAAACGCAGCTGCGCCGGCAGCCACAGAAGCCTGTGCGCAGCACTCCCCGCCATGACTGGCGTGCCAGTCATGCAGCTGGCACGAACGGCTGCAGTAGCGCGCGTTCCAGCAGGTGGAGCACCGCCAAAACTCCAGCGCGCGCTTCTCAGGCCTGCCGCAAGACTCGCGGTTGCAAAAACCGAGCCCAGCGTCGCCCACCGTGTCCTTCGCGCTCGCCAAATCGCCGCAAGCGGTGCTCTTCTCGCACTTCTTAGCCGCCCTTGCGGCGAACCAATCCTTGACGAACACGTGTGCAGGGTGGACAGCAGTGGCGCGCAGCGACGTCTGCACGCTGGATAGAATCGGCTGCAGCTTGGCGATCGACTCGGCGGTTAGCTTTAAGCTGCCGGCCTTCAGCGCCGCGAGAAGCTTAAGCACGACGGCCGTCTTTCCCTGCAGGTGCTGCGCCTGCGAGTCCTGCGACGGATTCCGGGCTTGGCGACGCGCCTGGCGAACCTGTCGCGCAGGCCGGGCGAACTTGGTCGCCTCGAGGGGACTCGTCCACGCAGCGACGGGAGCGGCGGGCTTCTTCGGCGGGAGCGCGGCGGGCTGTCCGCAAGCGGAAGCGTCGACGCGAAAAACGAAGGGAGGCCTTGAGTTGACCCCTGCGGGAGACACGGGCATGCCGTGCTCTGTGAACGCGCCCTTGGACTCCACGCCCAGCAGCGTCTGCACCGCAGTCTCCTGCTCAGCGCAACCCACGGCGGCGACATTACCGAGGGCATCAAAACCGCGCATCTTCTTAGCAGCGACGCCAGTATCAGCTTCACTCTTTCGCTTGCCGCCGGAAGCGAGAAGCGACGAGAGCGAAGACACGTGAGAGGAAGATTCCGGTGAGAGTTCAGCAGCTTGCGCCTCGAGCAGCATCCTCCAACCTTCTTGGACGTCCTGGCGCACTCCGTATCCGTCCAAGAGGCAGTGGCCTAGTTCCCGCATGGCTTCTGTGTGGCCGAGAGCCGCCGCTCTCGCGCAGAGCGCGACGCCGACTTTGATGTCCTTGCTCTGCTGGCCTAGGCCGCTACCGTTAAAGCTGAGGATGCTCGCCGCATGCAACGAGGCCCCGTGCCCCTGCCGCGCGGAATACATGAGAAGCCGCCCGCCTTCAAATTGCGCCTCGGGGATGCAGTAGAAGAGGATCTGATGGGAGAACGAATGCAATGGGCAGGGGCGAAGGTTCGCGGGAGGTTAGCAAGAGTCGTGCTAAGGACGAAGGCGAGAAGGGTCACGGATAGCAACATGGGAATACAGGCGAAGACGGCGAGGATTGGCACATGGGTGAAGGTGCGCGGAAGGGGGGAGAGGAGAGGAGAGCAAGCAGGCGGGAAGGCACGCACCATGGCGAGCATGAAGCAGGCCTCTAGACAGCCGTTCTCGCTCAGTCGTCGTAGAAACGTGAAGGCGCCGATGCTCCACTGCCTCGCTCGCACCGCCACGCCGCCCCTCGACGTGGAGCACAACACGTCCCTGTCTTGACTCGCTCGCTTCCACCGCCGGCATCTGGATGAAGAAACGCGAAGAAACACAAGATAAATATACATATTGGAAAATATGGAGCGACAAATCTACACTTTCCCTAAGGGTGAATCAATAGTTGCGTTGCCTACTTACGTCATGGAGGGCGCGACGACCTCGGCGGGGCTTTCCGCGGTGGAACTGACGGCAGCGAGGACTTTCACGAGGACCTCCTCCTGCACCCAACCATGACCACGAATAAAAGAAAAAAGGTCACAACGCCTCCAGGTTCTGAAAAACACCCAGTTCTAATTATGCGTCGCTATTGACGATACAACTGGAAAACGAACGTACCGGAAGGCTATCTATCGTCGTGCGCTTCCGACAGGGCCCATCCGATTGGTTCGATAAGAGCGTCCTGTCCAGCATGCACGCAGCTGAGTTCTCCGCTCTGTCCACGTCATGGTGGCTGGGGCTTGAAGCTCGAGCTAGCTCTGGTTGCGTGGCTTCCGGTAGCCTCTCGTTATTATCTACTGCATCTTTTGGATCGCCTGGACTTGCGAAGGTGGAGGTAGACGCCCCCATGGGGTTAGACTTTCTACGACGCTCAAAACTGAAGGGTACTAAACCTAGCCGAAATTCCTGTAACGACTGCTTTCAGAATCGGTAAAACGGTGGAAGAGAAGACCTTGTGGGTGGTGGTGACGGTGAAGGCAAAACGAGGGTTTCACTTTCGGTTTGGCGGAGCAGCTGGAGGGACGCGAGTTAGTCAGGTGGCTTGGGTTTGCAGCGGAGCAGAGAGGACGAGAGGAGATAGGTCTTGGTGGTTTGGAGGTTGGCCATGCGCAGCGGGCGGATGGATGGATGGGAGGGATGTGGTGGAGATTGAGTGGACATGGAAGGCGGAGAGATGTGGAGTGGCTGTTGCGTTGATGCGAACAGATGGGGGGATGGGGTGGGGTGGGCGGGGGGGGGGGGGGGGAAGGGAGGAAACCACATCGGTTCGGTGTTTGGAAACATAACTGGCGCGCTCTGCCACCTCCGTTGCACGTCGGCAACCTCGCGTGACCTCATGCCCGAAAGATATCGCTGGGCAGGACAAAACGTTTATATCGGGCACGACCTGGCGCGCTGTCGCGCCAACCGCCTATGATAGACCTCGAAACTGTTTTCTGTTTGTCTATCAATCACCATCTCATCTAGTCACTGCCAGCGATTGGGTGATGTGGGGTTTGAGCCGAATCGGCCCAGGAGGGAGCTTTTGGAGGGAATTGCGTCATTCGCTTCGGATTCCACGTTACTCTTTGGT